GAGTTGGACAGGAGTCCAAACTCCTGCCTCTCCCACAACCCGTCCTCTCGAAGCGAAGGAGACGCGGTAGGTATTTTTCCTTGTTCCTGAATGCAATGAGGTACTTCTTAATTTGCATCCCATTTTTATGTGGTTTAGTTGATAATCATGTGATTAATGGAGAGTTTTGGGAATTATAGGCCTGAATGGGCTGCAGTTTGAAGCTCATGTCGCAAATCTATTGTCTTCACCAAAAGCTCCTGTTAAACAGCATGTAGAGGTAAATAGTGCTTTTCTCTTAGTTATTTTGCGACCGCACCCATCGTACTCGTATTGACAAGACCTGCGAGAAGTTCATAGACATTTGCGTAAACAAGTTCTTACATCTGTTATCTACATTGACTTGTTGAAATAATCCTAACCGTGAAGTGCATTTGCAAATGTCTTCGCCCCTCTTTTTGCGATGTCATGTGACTATTCGAAGTTTCATAGTCATCCACAACCATGTATTGGCTACTATCTACATTATGGTGCTGCACAACTGCGATGAGTTTTGAACCATAGCTTTCCAAGCTCTTGAGGGAAAATTCAAGTTAATGGTCTTGCATTGTCCTTCAGCTCTTCCTAAAGGCTTAGTAGATTGTGCAGAAGATTAATGCTCTTGGGCCGGGGACAAGGTGTTCACTTTCAAAAAGTCACGTGACTATCGCCTACATTGGTAACACCTGTATCGCTTATTTCACGACCCAAATAGTCCGGTAGCTACAACGTCACCCGTTCGCCTCGCTCAGACTAAAAGGAGACGTCGCTATTCCTTAAATAGCATAGAGAAAAGCATACGTTTACTCCTTGTCTCTTCACACCCCATACCATTTAGGGTCACAGAGGTTACTTTCCTGTTCCTACGACAAAGGTAACCAAGATGATAAGGTGTTCCTGACATTAGTTACATTGGTAGCGACTTCTAAATGCCCAAGCAGCATTGAACGAGAATAACTGCTCAGCCACTACGTTTTAGAAATCCACTTGCTCAACGAAGACATTTATTCGAATACTATCGAAAGACCTATTTGAGCACGTAAGAATGAGCAGCATCTGTTCGTCAGATTATATGAATTCATTCACGATAACATCAGACAACTTACATTTGAGGCCCGACAGCCTCTTCATGTTTCTTGGCATGTTGAGATAAAATCATACTAATCTCCCATGCTGACTTGTATTCTCAGTTCGATGGTTAGTATTCAAGCCATTGATATCAACATTTACAGGATCCAGGCGAAAGGCGGAACGTGGATCGTGCTGGTCTCCCGCCCTCGGCGAAGATCCGTGCTGCTTCCAACGAAAGCTCACACGGAAGGCACGGAAACTACCCTCTGAATCCGCCCAACTATCCGGTGCGTACCAAAAAAAAATAAACAAGCGCCTAATGTGGAATGGTGTTGGTAGTGAACCACCTTCAACACGGAATTGTAGTGCCGTCAAGATCTTTTTAAGTGGGCGAAACTTGAATATTTGGTGATACCACCCAATAGTATTCAATCCTGTCACTTGATGCTCCAACTCCACATTGCTTTGGGCACAATTGTGTGAAAGCAAACACAATTAAGGGAAAGTAACGAGTACCATCGGCAAATCGAGTTTCCTTTGAACACTAAGATACTTGTTTTTGGTTTAGACCGAGCATAGCTACTACTCCAACACTGTTCCGTCAAGACCTCCAGCTGGTCCGCATTCGATTGGAGAGTCACAGAGACATGCAAGCACAACAAGCTCTACACTCGGAAGCCTCCCAGCTAAACTCGCCTCAAAGTCACGAAGCTCAAAAAGCTTTTTACGGCACTAGCTCCTCCTGCCTTCTCTCCTTTACCTCCGCGCTCACATCGCACTGAACGACAACTCAAGGTCTAACTCGCGCCTTTTCGGTTATGAAAAGCTAGATCCATTGTCAAAACCACTGTTCTCTATCTCTTCTTTGTCACGCTCAAATATTATCTTTTATTACTTTGTCGCTCCGAAATATGCGAAATATTTTTAATGTAATAATACAATTACGACATTGAGAAGCAGAACTAACTCGTTGAATGCTAGCGTTTGATGGGAGTGGATTATTGCAGACATCTTTGTACCTTCTGTCTTCAATTCTTGGACTCTTTCGTCAATCCTCAGACGATAAAAG